GTGGCTTTTTGTTTGTTTTTTAAAAGAAAATGTGCATTTGTACATATACATACAGACAGAGACTCTGTTACGCAGGGCCAAATTCAGTTCAATAGTAGTTATTTTTAGCAACAGTAATTTGTGTTTAAAAGTTTTATAGCAAGCAAGTTAAGATGTTAATAATATTATACATGTATATGTAGAGTTTTATAGCTTCTGCTAATGTAAATAAAACTTAGGGTAATTTTAAGCAACATCATCTAAACTTAGGACTTCTGTCCCTTTAAGGCAGCACCAGGCTTCTAGAAACGCTTAAAAGAAAGTGAACCACATTCAAAAAAAAGAAGAAAAATAGATCTGAAATTAGCCAAAGTTAACACGAACAGGACGAGTACACAGTCACTGCACACTGCAGCTGAAGGGGAGCCCAGACATGCTTTATACAAGATGTGCCAATACTTTTATTAGGTATGCACAACTATCCAAAAGTTAAGCTGGTCACAGCTGAAGGACTGATGCAACATAGAGGGATTGTGCGCCTCCGGAACACCACGAGGAAAGAAGCTTGCCCAGAAAGCTGTGTGAGGGATACCGTTTGAAACAACCAACGAGATTTAGATTTCACTCCTACCTTCTAGTCTAATATTGCTGTCAGCAGCCTACAGCAGCAAAGGATTTTTGTCTCCATTGCCAATGGAGGAAAAAAAAGGAACATAACAGAACAGGGTGCCTTTCACTTTTCATACTCATGAGAGAGAGGAGGTCGTGCGAGTTCCCTCTGTAGGTACTACAAAAGGAAAAAACCCCTAGTCCTAATGTGTACATAGGATCTATCACTCAAAAAGAATGCTGCATTTCTTCAGTTACCAGAAACAGCAGGAATTAAACAGACCTCAATGACAAGCTCACCTCCAGACTTTGAGCTATGATTTCTCAGCAGCACCATTCTCTATCAGCTGCCACTGCAGTTACCTCTATGAGATACTAGAAATATGTTTCAATCCTTTTCTGAATTTACTTGCTCCCTTTCCATTGTCTTGTGATGCTACTGATAGTATCAACTAAAGTCAGCTATAGAAGTAATTAATTCCCTCATTTCAACAAGGAGGAGAAACTGTGTTACAAAAGATGTTAATTTGAGCATTTCCAGTACTACTAACAGATAGGAGTTACGTGCATTATTCTTTCCAGATATGCAAACATCACTGGCGGAGAGATGAAGGTCATACTTCAGTTTGCTTCTTTATAAAGAAATACATCAAAACTTCGCAAAAAGCAAGTTTAAGATGTCAGGACACAACTCCAGTAGAAGCAAAGTTAGACTTTTACAAAATTCTTGTCTTTCATACATTCTCAGTTTTCAGATTCTGATTTCTGAGCTGGTCAGAATTTAAGACAAGCTCACTTACCATGAAGGAACACCTTTTTATATAAGAGTACATACCTATGTTCTGCCTCAAGTGAGCTTGAAAGAACATCCGCCTGAGGGAAAGTTGAAGATCGAATGATCTGTTGAGATGTAATTGAATCATTTCCATTCTCTTGCGGAATTTCATTTTCAAAATTTCGGTTTATATCTCTCTCATGATGAGGACTGTTGCTGTTATGTAAGTTAAAGGAGTCATCATCCTGTCAAAAATGATAATATATTACATAATTCCATTCACAAATAATCCTCTGCAAATGCTGAAATTCAGTGATTCTGTTTTAAGTTACTCTTAAATGGAGAAACTCTACGCTACTTCAAGGAATAATTGTGTTCGCACTTTAAGAGTCTGCAACACCCAGATACTACAGAAACCTTAAATTACACCGCTGATCAAGTAAAGAAGAAAGCAGTAACTCCATGCTCCGCCTCAAACTGTTTTTCTACACAGTTTGTGTCAAACATCTCTTCAAATCCAAACTTATTTAAGCTGGTTTTCATATTTTAAGAAATGGTAAGTTATGTGTTGAAATTACTAACAAGGTTTCCAGTTAAATCAATATCAGAGCTGTGTGTGTCAGGAACAATTTGAAAGCAAGAGAGCTAGATTTACTTCACTGAAGCAGCAGGCTACAACCACCATACTTCAACCAGCAAATTCATCTGCCACATTCAAAAAGATCAGATGTTGCTCTTTAAATCCAGTCAACATCTTCCCCTACACACACACACACCCCACAGCACTTCCCAGGCTGCTGTTACAGGAACTATACCTTATCTAGTCAAGAAATAAGAACTAGGAAGAAAGTGTATTTAACAAGCTGATTAAGTTCACTCAGATATTAGAAGCTCTTAAATCCTCTAGCCAGAGTTGTTTCTTTCGATTCTACTCATTCAGCAACTAGCAACTTATTCAGTAATTAGCCAAGTAGCCTTAGACGTTTTACCAACTGTGAAAAACAAAAAACGAGAGTGGGATTATCTAGCTAACACCCTTTTGACAATAAAATCCATACACGTGGTATGTAACAGCATTAACCATAGCAGGAAGCAATCATTCAATCAGCCAGTTCTGCACTTGTGAGGAATCATACTTCAGAGTCCAGGATCAAGACCATCATCCTTAGTTTCCTTCTGCTCTCAGTGTTATCTGCTTCCAGAAATTTTAGAATGGCGAGCAAGAATTAAGAACAAATATCCCAATAAACACATGTTCAGCTGTTAAACTGTAAGTCTAGAGAATGTCATTCAAATGATCAAAGAAAATTCATAGAAATATTTACAAATGTTAATATATTAGGGCAAAATAACTTCTTGCAAGCATGATTCAGCTGCTGATCATGATCTGCCTCATTATGTTAGAGATGAAGTCTGTTACTGCAGGCTTTAAAATCCCATCAAGAGGATAATATTATGAAAGATTGTTGCGTGGCTATCTCCCTGTCTACTCAGGTGCACACTATGCTTTCTTTTTAGGATCATTAAAATTAACTTTGAAGTAGGACAACTATTACAAGTACATGATTTGCTAACCTTTAACCTTTTTTGATGTCTATTAGTGAACCAGCAATGGCAGGGAACAAGATGCATGCGCTTAACAGCAAATACTCCAGACAACACCTTACGTATACCTGTCCAAGGACATTAAGACTTTCAACAACTAAAACACTATTTTTTTCAAAATATACTGATTCTGAAAGTCAGCTGCGTACAACGGGATAACCAAATGCCTTGGGTGTAAGCATCGCGAAGATATTAAGAACTCAAGACAATTTCAGGACCAGAAACTCCCAACTTCATATTTCATTTCGCAGAATTCTGAGATTCAAGATAGTGCTTGCCAAAATATCTTTTTAATCTTAAATCAAGCTCTATTTCTTAAACATACACAAACAACATCACATCCAATACCCTCCTAAAGGGAAACACACTCAACCATACAACACTTAATGGAAAGATATAGACCATTCCTAATGGAATGGTACACTTACATTGTACAGTCCCATTACAGCAAATTTTATTATAAAACATAAAATAGAAACAGGGTCAGAAGTCACTCTTCCCATTATAAGGAACGCGCACTGGCATCACCTCTCACGTCCCTGAATCACAATAGTCCTTCCCCAAAAACATCCATTTTATTAATTTTGCTGACCTGTTGTTTGTGCCTCCCCCCCCCCCCCCCCCCCACTAAACCACTTCTTTCATTTACAACAAACATAGGCTTGGAACAGCTTCATCAGGGAGAACACGCTACTTGACTAAGCATGACAAGAACACTTATGGCTTGTTGCTAGCTGGCAGCACTGATGCACTATATCCTCAGGTGCCAGTTAAACACCGCATAAGCCAATCCACATTGAAAGAAACCTGACACATTATATCATAAGCCTCCCAGCTCTCAATTAGAAAATAAGAGATATACGCATAAATTAAACTATTGCTCCTACGACTAGACTGAGACAATTTCTGGCTATCTGAACATTCCAATTAGATAGCAAATAGTCTGAGAAGTAGAACTCTAAAAGCTTGGATCACATTTTTTCATCAACTGTTTTATAAGATAAACAGTCAAGATGTGAAACACCGCTCTACAGAAAGATTAGGTTATGGTACTAAGCTTTTTTTTGTTTGTTTTTGTTTTTGTTTTTAATTGTTGCTTAAGACATAGGAGTGCCTGATGCTATTAGGATATATGATCAGATCCTACAGGAAGGAAGAGCTAAGTAGCACTGGAGAAAGTAGTACTTGAGATAAATGACCTTTTGATGAATTTTTTAAAAAGTTATTTCTTGTATTTAGAGAGCTAAGGCCATGACTTAACTCCTTCACAAGTTTCTTCCACAAACTTACTTTTCTTGGCATGGTATGTCTGTTTACGGCCAAAGAAAAAAGTAATTTCTGTTCAGTCTGAAACCTCTCACTGCTATCTCTATAACAGTTATGAATTAAAATACCTTCTCTTGCCCAGCATGATTCTCGTCTTCATGTTCCTCTTCCACTCTATCTCGTTTCAATGCTTTCAAAAATTCACTCTTCTTATCAGTCCGCATTCTTGTCAATTTTGTTAAACGAGGCTGACCAACTTTGTCAACAGGGGATGAAGAATTTGACCGATTACACTAAGGGAGAGGTGAGGAAAAAAAGAATATTAGAAGATTATCCATTTAGAAAACTTTGAATGAAAAAGCAAAAGTGTCTAAGACATCTCTAGTTTCAAGTTTCATGTATATCCACATCCAAAACCAGAGGGAACATATTTGTATTTCAGTATATATAGTTCTTATGTAGGATGCATATTTATGAATTCATGGAGATGCAGACTTACGGAGCACTGTTAATGACAGGCAGACCTCCACAAACAAATCATACCACTAGCAGTTTTTCAGTTTAAACCTAAATTATATTTCCTAATGCACCATTTTTACTCCACAGCAAACCTACAAAGCTAACTGTCCAGCATTCAAAGGCCACTGACATTCCTTCCATATTTCTATCATATGAACATCCACAAAAATAATATTTAATACAGTTCTACGTAAATACTGATTCAGTCAGGTAATCAAGCTAAAAAATGGATGGATTTGATAAAAGACAAACAAATACACAGACTTGTTTTACCTCTTTCACTGAATTCTGTGATACGCTAAATGCCTTGGCAGTTGATTTGAAAGCACTGAAATTGCCAATATTATATGCAGATTCATGAGGAAATGGATTCCCAAGTTTATTTTCTTTTGTTTGGCTTTTCCACTGTGTCGGCTAAATAGAAGTTTAAACAAAAATTTAAAGATTCATTAGCTAAAACAGGATTGTTTTCAAGGTTCTTTAGAAAAACTATTAAGCAGAACTAAATCAGTAAAACTAAATCTACAATCATAATTTAGTGCAAACATCTTTCTCTTGTGGAAGAGACTGCAACAGATATAAGCAATTCATCCTCCCTCAAATACTGTTCACACCTTTAACACAGAGTTAAATTTAAAAACAATTAAGACTCTGCTATTTAATGCATTAAGAACTGAAATACGAGAGTCTTTCAGATCTGAAAGTAGTGTTTTTAATGTAGCAAGAGAATTAGAACAACTTCATGAGATCAATCAGGAGATGAACAGGGACCAAAACGACACTACTAGGTTGCAACATCACTACATCAATAACCGGGAAAAATTCTGAAGGTACTTTTATGCAAACTGTAGTTCTCCACTCGATATTTACTCTTTTGTTAAAAAAAAAATGGAGTAGTAATGGCTTTTATCTAAGTTAAAAAAAATTCTTCTCACACTCACTTGGGACAGCTCTTGCACACCTTAAAAAGGGTGAATCAGAAAGAGATCAAAATACAGTACAGCTTAAAAACAAAAATAAGGAAAAGTGTTTCCAGACACTTTCGGGGTATGCTGCAATTATATCATGCAAGACTTGAAAGCATAATACTCTAGGAACTGTACTCTTGGGGTGAAGCAAGCACATTCAAAGCTGGAGCATGATTTTTTTCAGCCTGTTGTTCATGTCACCGGTATCCAAAACTTACTTTTGCAGGTGGAGTGGCTGGTTTAGGGACTAATCCTTTATAAACACTTGTGCCAGTTCCATTCTTGACTGACTGTGAATGAAGACTTCCTACTACAGGGAATCCAGATATCTGAAGTTCTTTAGTACTGCCCTTTTTAATGACCAGCATTCTTGGAGATCTAGACTTAGGATTCAAAGGATACTCTAGGGGAGGGGGGAGAGAGGGAAAAAATTATATATATATAAAAAAATAAAAATACACACACTCTTAAGTTTCTAGTTCATAGGGTACTAGGTGGCCATACAGTCCAGAGCAAGCAGAAACTTAGTCCAGCATCAGCTTCATCAGTAACACGTTACACAAAGTTGGATAAATAGTAGTTCTGCTCCATTTTCTACACTCGTCATTCGTAACATTATTTGACTTGGCATGGCAGGAATTTTAGCTTTTGGAAAATAAAGCTATTCTTCAGTCAAAGAAGAGAGCTATATAGCATTTTTTTGCAAACCCAAATACTATTAGTTGTTAGTAATTATCTAATCTTCAAAGATTATAGTTTCTATATTTCAGTTTAAGGTTACTAAAGAATAATAGTAAATATTTATTAAAAGCTCAGTTTAGAGTCCAGTGTTCCACATGGACTCTGGATCACAGCAATGACAGCTTTCTTTACCTCTACACCTCATGTGGGCCTAACAAAACTTTTGAAGCTCAGCCTATTATTTCCAGGTTCAAGAAAGCATTAATTGGAGAGATACAGTCAACTGTATCAGTTGTACAGTCAACTTCCCCTAACACTCACATGGTCACATCCTATATACACAAGGTAAAACGGCATCAAGCAAAAGCATATATTTTTTTAACAGACATTTAAAGGGGATGGTAAAATTCCTCCTCTCCTGAATATTAAGTTTCCTTGGAAAAGAGATAAGAATAGCCTTGATTTCAGTTTTTCAATTATAATACAAGGCCTGCAATAGCAGATATGTAATAAAGCAAGATACCAAGCCGTAAACTGTAACAAGTTGCTGCACTGTAGGTTACATTTCTGTTTAGCTGACAGAACTGTTCCTTCCTTCGCTTGTGAAGGAGGATACCTGAAGCCTAGAAAACGACTACTACTTCAAATCAAATTGAGCCACATTATGCTGCAGCCAGAATGCTACAAAGGTTGTATTTAAAACCTACAGCACTGTAAAGTAGTAGCCAAATGCATCAGGTGGAGATGAGAAAACAACCCCAAACTACAGTTCAGTTCACTGCCCATTCTCATCATTGGCTTTGTAGTACATAAGTAATTCATAAACACAGGCAACGTGACTGAAGACATTTGCTTCCAGAAAGGGACCTTAAATCTCAACAAGTTGGTCTGCTCTCCCCAGCCCTCCCAAGTTTCTTTTCAAGTTCTTCTAACATCTCTACTGAATTAGAGGCATTCTTTTATGAAGTCTTCAGCCAGCAATCACACTACCAGTTTAGCCCACCATCATCCCATTTCCTAGAATCCTTGATGTCTTTACAAGGAGAGGTATACCTCTTCCAGGACAAGAATCTTAGTTGTGCCTGCATCTACCGACCAACAGAATGATACCCAAATAGAAATGTCGTAACCAAGTTTCCTCAAATTCAAGTCATACTACTGCAATATTCTAAAAAACAAACAAACAAAAAACAAAATTCCCACCTGTTTCAAATAAAATAACTTCAGATCCCTGCTACATTTTTATATTACAAAGCCAAAAATACTCACCCCACACACCTGCAGCTAAAGATTTATTCTGGTTTGGTTCTCTCTCATATTCAGGATTCAGTGATGGCTGAAAGGAAGTTTCAGCATAATTAAAAATGAAATTCAACAGTAAGTTTTTAAATCTGGAATCAATGAAATAAAGAATCACAATAAAATCTGAAGCATACCCTCTGCTAAAAAAGGATTTTTAAATGGAGACACATTAGACTCTTCCCCCCAGGACACATCCAAATAGATAAATGCTCACTTGTTACTTTACTCTTCTCCAACACAATATCTCAGGCAGCAGTCAATACAGTTACATAAACTGTGCAGAGAAAGCAAAAAACAGCGACGTACAGTTCTTCAAAAAGGAAGCTTACTCTTCCTCTTACTTCCTACAATTCTAGGTTGAAGCGTGTGACCTCAAATGGCAGGTGGCAGAAAGATCACTGTTAGTACTTCAGATTTCCATTAATGTAGTCATGTAGAATTTTTAATACACACACATGCCACAGTAAACTGCAGTAAGATATTATGAAATAAACTTAGAATCCATTCATAATTTCACTTACAAACACTTAAGTTTCATTTAAACACTTAAGTGACAATAACAAAAATAACAGTAAGAACTGGAGATAAAAAGAGAAACAAGTTAGTGGACAGATGACTAACACCCTCTTACCTATGGAAAGGGTGATCCCTCATAAGATGATCTGTAACTGCTGAAATCTCATCAAGTAGCTTGCAATGGACAAAATGGCACTTGCAGAAACAATGAAAGCTTGTTTATTATAATTACAATTAACTTACAAAATCCTCAGCCTCAAACTGTTTGGGTTCTTCCTTGTCTTCCTTTTTCCCAGTTTCATTTTCAGGTACATTATTTTCATGCAGTCCTTGGCTTTTTCCACAGTGGAAAGTGCTGGTACGAGTGCGGGAACCTCCGCCATGATATCCCCCACGATGGTTTATATTTTCTGTACCATTTCTGCCTTGTGAACGCCAACCATTTTTCTCTTTTCTCCCAAAATGCCCTTAAGATTTTTAAATTTTAAAGAAATGTAATTACAAACAGTTTTGAAAGTATGTTCTACTTTTGTAAAATCGTTAGAGGAGTTAGGCAAGCAGCTCTATACTGGGGAATGCGATAGCATGGTGAATTTAATTTATATTCACATAAGCAGCAGGGTAGAATCTCACAGAACAGTACTAGAGAAAGGCAGCAGTCTGACATTAGGACTAGTCAAATTCCTTTTCTGACTGCTCGTTTATGTTGCTGGCTATAAAGTTAATTTCACATTCTTATTCTTTTTAAGAGAGAAATACACCTGCAAGCACATTACTCCAATCACTAGTCATCATATCCTGTCCTAGAAAAAATGTCTTTCCAGACCTCTGTTCTACTACAGAATAAGGCATCTAGCCTAGGACAGCTATTATCTTTAGATTTTTTTCTAGCTAGAGCACTACAAAACAATGAGGCAGATGTATACAAGACGTTCAAGATAAATCATACCTCCATTAGGCCTTCCAATATTAGGATCAAACCCATCTGAAGAGTTGTGTCTTCTGCGATTTGCTTCATAACGACTCTCTGTCCACGAAAAATTTTCAGAATGTTTCTCGAAGTTCAGTGATGACTGGAAAGGAGCATAATTAGTAGACTGAAATATCTGATTACTAACAAAACTGAGTTATCGGGGCTAATGTGCACATTATTCATGGTATATACAAACCACTTTAAAAAGGATTTTGAATGCCAGCTCATACAGTAGCTCTAAAGTATGCATATGTTCAGAGTTATGTCATTAACTTCCACGCTACTAAAAGCTGCATCTTCCACTTCGAGACATTGAAACAGAGCTGCTTGCGTCATAAGGAAGGAGGACAAAGGGTAAAAGTCCCAAGTGTTTATTTTGGTTTTAGTTTGGTAGTAGAAGGGAACGAAGATTGATGTGTGCTGCAGTAGAGTAAAAAAGGAAAAAAATAAAAGGGGAAAAAAAAAGCTAAGAAAGGACATGAGATCCCAGTTTTGAAGGCAGGAGAAAAGTCTAGGATCTTGATATGGGCAGTCAGAGACTGTACATGTGCACCGCATAGAAAGCTAGGAGAGGTTCCCACCAGAGGCAGCTGTAACCGAAAAAAGTCCAGTTTATAAGCTGCGTCATTACCTTATTAAATTGTAAATCCAACTAATTGTGAAATACAAATAAAAATCTATAGAAGAGTTAAAAGAATTCAGATTCATCAACACACTCCAAAGTATGAAATTTCTGATGCCTACTTATAATTTCAAAGTAGTGAATCCTTAATACTGCAGTAAGAAGTACTTTAACTAAAACCTTGTGTGGAGAATAGCACTCAAAGTAGTCAAAATACATCTTTCCTAGAACTCATACCTTAGGGAATTAAGCCTAACCAACACAGGTCTCATAGCAGCTGTCTTTCCTATTATTTCTATCCGACTTTACTATTTTAACGCTATAGCATTTCTTTCGCTACCACAGCATAAGAATTAAAGAACAAATTTTCATTCTATAAAAGTAATGCTTAGTCCTACTGTTGGATGTACCACACAACTGCTGATGACAGAGGCAGACTGTGTTTCCCAGCACCTGCCTGTCACACAACACATTTGGTGCAGATGAAGCAAAGCTCCTTTTCTCCACTATCAAATCTACCGAGTACATGTAGGTCCACTGCGCTGCACACGAGCAAGAGATACAGTGCTTCCAAGTGCCACGTTAGCTGTGAATACATCTACAAACAGCTCTGTGAAAAGGTACAAAATCAGAAAAGTAGATCCAATGGCTTCAACAAGCATCAGCTTTACTGTGCAAATATCCATTTGCTGCCTGAAGCCCTTTTCTGCTCCAGATCCAAAGAATATTGAGAAAGATAAGGACAGCAATAATGGCTTATTCACATACTCCCTTGGATCATACAGTCCATGTTCTACGATATAGCAGTTCTTATTCTTACATATTCTGAGTTGAGACAAAAAAGGTGAAACATTCTATCCTGATAACAGCATGTCTAGGATAAAATAAGGAAATAACTTTGTCTCCTGTCTTGATCTAGACCTCGCTTTATAAAATATTATCCCTGCAGAATCAGAAAATAGTTCTAAGTTTTAGCTGCTACCTTTCATATACACCTCTGGAGAAAGGAACAGAGACAACTATCCTACTATACCCAAGTAAAAAGCGCTTCTAAGTTCTTCAGACTATACCTGAAAGAAAAAAGTCTCTGTATGCTTCAGAAGGCTTGAAGTGACCTGCAAGGTCCTATATTTGACTGAAGAGACGCCCATTTCTGATTAAAATCCTCAGAAGGAGGTAGGAGGACAAATGAAAGAGCAGAATACTAGTACAGTTGAAAAAAATTAATGAAGAAAAACAAAAGGAAATAGGCAAAAAGGTCCTAGCTTTAAAGAAGCAAATGGGATCATAATGTCATCCCATAAGTTTCAGATGAACATCTAAAGGAAAATCTTTAATATTCACTTGCAATTTAGAGAGAGGGGAAAACAAACATAAAAAAAAAAGTATCCAACCTGAAGCCTAAGGAAATAAGCAAAAAGTCTGAGCATCAGCCTTAGAAAAGAGATTTGTGGAAGGCGGGAGCTGAGGTGGTGAGAAAAAGACACTAGAAGAAAAAGTAAGGGTAAGCATGATCTGCATGACTCTCTAAAACTTCCTGAAGGCAGGAGGTTCATATCATTAGTGAGGAGCAATTCCTCAAGCTCCACATTTCTTTCATCTTTCACCCAAAAAATGTGCTTGTCATAGGCTAAATGCTATTTATATGAAATTAATTTTTAGAGACCTTCTCATCTTGCAAGGGGTATCTCAAAAGGCCATTTGTGACAAAGTTTGAAATCTAACATAAAGACCCCGAAATACAAGGGTCATATTAACATTAGTATTAGTAAACTTAGATTAACAGCAGCTACGACTCTTCAGCTTGGGGTTTGATGCTGGCCTGACTTCATCAAGCAGACTGCTTTTTGGTGTTGCTTTGTAGCCAAGTAGAAACTTCATACAGGCATTAAAGTCCTGTTTGTCACATTAACTGTGAATTTTCCCAGTCATCATCTAGAGATAATCGTGCAGCCTTCACGACTATAAAAACAGATCTTCACAACACGATTCAAATATATCCATGAATAATGTAGGCCTGAAAAAGAGAGCCTGAAGTTACATCCCAGCAATGATTAGCTATTAAATATTAATATAGCTAATTTAGAAGTACTCCACTGGTCACAGTGAGTAAAAATAAAAGCCTGAATCACAAGGTAAGAAGTTCACCTATTTTGAGAACAATGTGGCAGAAAACGATTTTCTGCTTATCCCCCTTCTCAAGAAACAAGCACACAAAAGATGATATCTGAATTCCACTGAAGATGCCCTCAAGAGAGCTCAAGGTGGTGTTCAAAACCTACTGACTAAAATTCAAGCTCAAGTAGCCTAAAAATAAGTTTAAAATACAAACTTTATTTCCATATTGTATAAAGTCAACTTGAGAGGGATAAGCTTTTCTCATTAGAACACTGAACAGTGAATTATTTCCTTGACAAATGCAGGGAAGAAAACAGAACATCAAAAAAAGCAGTCAAGAGATCTAAATAGTTAACAAATTATCATAATGAATCTTTCCATTTCAGTTAAAAATATATATATATTCATAAAGCAAACTTTGAATAAGCTACCAAAATTTAAGCAACTCCAGATTTGTTGATTAAATATAAAATTTTAGAAGACAGCTCTATGTTCATTTACATATGCAGACCACCTTCTAGTACTGCCTCTGGAGTTTAACTTTCACTTTTTAACTGAACTTTCAATAAAACACATTTACACAAAGTCTAATTGACAGGATTTTATATACAGTGTTTGAGCTGTACATGACACAATGCATCTCAATTCACTAAGTTGTGTGCAAAGATCATGCAGTTTACAACTTCCCCACATGATGGAGATATCAGTCTATCAAGCTTTTTGTGGCAAAGATGGCAGTAAATTTTGTAAGCAACAGGAAATCTATTAGTTATTTCTGGAAGCTGAAAAAATTATCTGACTTAATTCAGCTAGTCAAGAAACAAAGCAAAACGATTTTAAAGCATAAAAAGTCCTACTGCTTAACACAAAGGAACAGGACAACCTTGCAAAAACCATGAGTATAGCAGCCTGTTTACAGTCTCCTCATATATATTTTATGGGAATGCTTTCAGAGATGTTTTCTCCATATCCCAAGCTGCCTACACTACTTCTGAGATCTTCCGGTTTCTACCTGCCCAGTTGCATTACAGCACTGATGCCAATACTAGACTTGAACTAAAGGTACCCAGCAGCGGACTTTGCTCTGCAAGTAACACGCAGATGATATTAAATTATCCTTAAAAGGAAATTAGTAGCAGTAAGTGAGGTGGATTTCAGCCAGGCTGTTACCTCTATCAGTCACATTAAGCAAGCTCATTTACAATCCTGATTTCTTGGCATCCAGTTCTTCTGATGTCAGCCTTTTACCTACTGGAGGGAAAGCTTCAGCTATCCAGGACTGAGGGCAGCTAAAACCCTAAAGATGGAATACCTAAAAGGTCCTCTTCCAGGAAATAAAAATTGACAGGATGGAGCTCAGTTTCTCTTCTCAAGTTTAAAGGATGTTGACACCATAGCCTCATCCCAGCTCCACTCTGCTGGGAACATGAGATACCTTGCCCTCTTCATCCCATTCTTCATCTAAATCCTTCTTTTCTGCTTTTCTCTGCAGCCATATTGCTGAGATATGGGAAGCATAATCAACAGTCTGTTCTAGGAAATGATGGGGGGCAGGGAAGACCCTTGAGAAAGACCCATATTTTTGAGGAATGACAGAATAAACCTTATGCTATAAATTAGGAGTTACTACAAATGGAGTAGGATTGAACAGACACTTTGAGTGCTTAATGTCTAAACGTGCTGTATAGCATGGAAAGCTAATCAGTAGGGAGCATGTGGAGCAAGGAAATAAGCTCCATTTAAAACAAGTGTAAGATGATGCACAAAGACCGTAACAGAGAAAGCACCTGCTAAATTCCTTGAGGCAAAGATTCATGGGAAAGAGCAGGATCCACAATAGATGCTTACAACAACATTTCACACAATTCGGGAAGGAAATGACAAAGAAAAACAACCCACACCTGAAATAGATTCAAATAGTACTGGGTAGGGCTGGAACTTATTTTTATCTTACTCTATTGACATTTGAAGTGTGCAGGGAAACTTCTTCCAGCAGATTCTTGAACTACGCAGAGAAAGACTGTTTTGTAAGTATGACATCTTAACCTAAGCTCTGATTACTGTTCCTATTAGCTAGAAATCTATTAAATCAGAAAAAGGCAATAACAAACAGTTAAATAGCGCAGAAATCAAATAGAACAAAAATAAACAGACTCCAGTTACCATCTAGGAACAGACAGACATAATGTTCCGAGAAAGACAACTGACAGTTGCTTAAAAACTATACTAAACAAAGGCAGCTAGATCAATGCAGAAGAAAGAAAAGTAATATGATGACCCAACTCAGCTCAATGACTCAACTTCAAAAAACGCTTGTGCATATAAATGTTTATATATAAACGTATACACACTTAAATAAAGCAATGGGGACACAACTAATACTGAATCTGCATCTAACACTAGCACAAGCATATGGAAATAAGTTTATAAGGGCTATTTTGCACGAATATGAAGGACAAGAAAGTTACACAAATACATTACAACAAGGCAATGCCACTCATTGCTGTAAACCATTGTGGATATCGCATTCAAAAGGATTATAACGAAGAAAGGTTTCTTAATAGGGAAATAAAGCAAACAAATGACAGTAATTCGAAATATCCAGTGCTGCCTCTGCTTCCGTGTTCACCCAAGATTTTTAAAGAAATGTAGGCGCATAAGGCCAGAGAATAAAAAAAAAAATTAAGGAACATTTCGATGAGCCAGCCATATTGAAGTCTTCCTAGAAAGACTATGAATCCTAATGACTCAGGGGTCCTGCTTTCTTGTTCCCAAGCTAACTGTCCCATTGCATAAGGTGAATAAAGGCACTGTAGAAAGAACGGCCACAGGGAGGACACACCGCTATTTGAAAGCGCACGCTCCCTTCGTACTTACAAGCACTGCACCAGCAACTGAAAAGCCCTTTCAAAAAGTCCATTTCAATTAAACAAAAAAACAAAACAGCAAAAATAAAACCACACACAACACACATTCAGATGACAATAAAGAAAGTATTTCTATAAAATGTATAGGACACTAAAGAGAGTAGAATCAGAATTCAGGACATCGTCAAACACGTACCTCCGTCTCATTTCTTTTAGTACAAAGAGACAGCAATTCAGCTTAAGCTACTGATGAAAGTAAAGTCAGTCTGACAACACCTCTGACAATGCGTCCCAGCACACTTCTCTTTTCATGATCTCAGCAGCATTGACAGAAAGAGAGGTACGAACTCGACAACCAAGGTCCAACTATTTAAAACATCACAGCAAGATTTACTAGATGCCGTCTGCTATCATCCTTCATGTATTCATAAAGGGATTCATATTTTTACTATGATTGAGGTTCTGGCATTTAAGCTTCTTTAATAATGAGACTGTCTACTCAAAAGGACAGCAAAGAACATACCTTTGTTGATGATGGCGGAGTAGGAAAATTAAGCCAGGCTGGAGCAAAGTCATGCTGCGCCATTTAGGTCCAGTCTCTCCGAATCAGTGAAACAAGGCTTCAGCACCTCATGGCAAGTCCCTGTAATCGGGGAGAGGGGAGAAAAAAAAGAAGAAAAAAAAAAAAGAAATCAGTACATTTCAGATGTTTCCCTTACAAGATTACTATACTCATGGTGTTTTGATCATTACTTCCCTTCTGTTTTCTGGTACTATTTTGTCAAATAAATCTGTTTTTGAATCTAACATAGCATCATCTGTCATCATTATGGCAGCACACTTGCTCTTTTAATACCAAAGTATCACACTAATTAAGTATTTTACAGGTATTGAAAACAGAACCATACCATTCACCCCATTTATAAAAGGAAATAAATAAATGGAGCATCTTGTGCGAGGTCAGATCAGAAAGTTGTGGCAAAATTTGCTTGTGAAATATTTTCTAATTCACTCCAGAGAGAATCAGAAGAGCAATTTCATTAGCTCCCCAGCATAAGCTAATTTTTCAAATTAGTTTCCAAAAGTTCATTCCAGATGCCATACTAAGTTTCCTCACGAAAAGACTGAATACTCAGGGCCACCAAAAGTCCCAAATTTTCTCTAGACTCAGTAGAAACAGGGCATGCAATTCCAGAAACACTTCCAAAAATCCAGTAAAATTCTCTAGAACATTTTTTCTTCCAGAAAAGCTGTCTTCTCTCCCCTCCAAATAAGCAGCATTTTCTAACAAAATAAAAAGCTTCTGTAGATTAACTATCTTCTTTGTTACCTGTAAAAACTCAAAGGTAATGAGTGACATCCCAAAAAGCAAATTTCTGCTCAAATGCTTCCACCCATACTTTTAACTCAAACTAATTCACAACCATGAAAAACATTTATACATGTTAAATCAGTTAATTTCCTATACTTGGTATGCAGAATTATACTAGGTTTAAGCTTCTGGTAAACACAAAAAAAGGCAGAGACTTAAGGTAACACTGAAAGCAAAAGTCTCCCAGTAAAAACTATGAAAAATAAATCAGAATACAGTATCTTGCTTAATTTATTCAGTTCACTAAGTAAATAGTTAAATTACTAATATTTTTGCACAAGCATTGAGATGCAATGCATTTTGTGGCTTACACAAGATAACCGACCACATCAGGTCAGGTCCTTGCCAGTAAGAAATCCTGCCAACTTTTCATCACAAAAGACCTTAAAAAGAACGGACAAGAGAATGGCTTAAGATGTTAAGTCCCAAGAGTGCTTTTTCTACCCCACGTTCTCCTCACAGGTGGGAAAATATTACTCAGTAAGCAAGAGAATGCAAGATAATGTTAACTATATAATCTGAAGCTGAACTATAGCACAGAAAAGAAAGAAATGGATGAAATACCAGCTAAATTACAAGGAAACCTGAACCACGGTCTGTAGTTAAGTAGTGCAAAATTGTCAATGATTCAAAAGTATTTTAAGTGTGATATACACCTACTTAGAAATTCAGCTAGTGAAAGCACTTAATATCCAAGTGTATTTGCTTTGAGGCACCAAATAAATGTGCATTCCACCTCTGCATAAGTCCCCTTCCTTCATACACAGCTCATCTCCAAGTTGGAGAATCACTAAATCTTTAGAAAGGACAAGACAGGCAGACTGGCACAAAAAAATAGATCTTCAGACCAAGGCACTTACTGCCTAAAAAACAAACAGAGAGACTCAGCATAGATCTGTTGAGAACTAAGAATTCAAAAAACATTATCAAGTTATTGGTGAATCATCTGTTAGGAGTGAGACAACAAAGGTACTAACAATGTGATTTCTTAATATATTAATCTTACTCTTTATAGAAAACTAGTCAAGTTTTCCCATATCACTATCCATCCAAATGCCACTGGAAACATTAATCAAAAGTTGAGGTGAGACCTGGTGAGCACCAAGGATCCCAGGACTAGAAAACTGTTTTTAAACCAACCTTTGTCTGCAGCTTAAATGTAGGCTTAAATCCTGTAATGCAGACTTAGATGTTTATTCACAGACTATGATTCAAATCATCTCCACGTTTTCAGTTCTTCATTAAAGCTTCTAAAAAGTTTTTCTGATAATGCCGCCGAGTTAGATGATTCAGGCCCTTTTCTCTAAAGCAGAAAGAAGCCTGGGTATAAAACTAAACAATACTAATAAATACTTTAGGTTGCCAATCCCAAGTTTTACCAGACATGGTATATACAGATCATCATACAGATGCTACCTTTCTGAGGTTGCCAACAAGTCTGCCCGAGAGTGTATTTTAAAATAAAAAAAAAAAATTTCCTTACAAGCATGAATGAGCTCTGTTTTAATGATCCAGTAAACATTAGCTAGCTCTAGGATATTCAACCAAAAATATCTTCCTGAGAAGGAAAACTGAGATAGATCATAAAAAGTAAGACTGGAAGGTCAGTAAGACTACTCTACTGCTTCAGGCTATATTTGCCGTAAACAAATCATGGTCAGTTTGGTTGTCAAACATCAGTTCGATTTTTCGTTGCTTTTCAGTTTAAGTTAAGCCAACGACACAGACTACATGACTTTCTTCTGAAATGTGTCCCAGTACTCAACTACTCTTATACCATCACAAAAGTTTCTTCTTCTACAATCAGTAACAACTTTTTTTTTTTTTTTTTTTTTTGCTGCTATTGAGCTCCATTACTTCTTAAGCTATCTCCAGTAGTCTGGGACATTTCTGTATACTGCATTCTCCAAAGCATTTGCAACCTCTACCCAAACTGGTACTATCGACAAATTCCAGAGCATTTCAATATTAAGTTATGAGCAAAAAAATCGAATACAAGTAGACCTCTGCAGAAATTCAGATACATGCGTCCAGCTTGACAAACAAGAGCTGCCTTTACAAAGGCTGAGGAGCCACTATGGCAGGTAAGTAACGCTGATCTTTGACAGCTGGTTTCCCCACTACTATGTGGGTACTAAAGCAATTTCATTGTAGTAGAACGCTTCCACCTTTCAGAAACATGGGACAAGATAGTCCTACTTTTAACTAAAATTCACCTTAACTATTTGAATAGAATAAGGGTTAATAATAGCACCCATATGAGCATTTACAAGAACCTGCTTTAATTGTACTGACAGACTATGAAGAACTCACATGTATGGTGTGTAAGTCAGAGAAGGCTTGCTTGCGGACAACAGGTCAACTGCTTCATTAACACTGACAGAACAGCTGTTGTATTCCTCACATTAAAACTGCTGTCACAATTAAGCTTATTCAGGTAACCTCCACAGATCGTAACACAATGCCTCCACGGCTTTCAGAATCTCTTTTGATAATAAAAAAGCAAGCCCAAAATTCATCATTTAGTTTAATTCTAGTAGCTCAACCTCAAAATATAGCCGCCATTCTCTAATAAAAAGGCATGAAGGCTAATTTGGTTCAGCCTATTACTGAAGCAGCAGAGTCGCACAATTTTAAAAAGGCAAGAAAAAAAGGTACTGAAATACTGCTATCCTCATACTGGTAACGTTCAAATGCATTCAAGCCTCTTCAATCAGATTGCTCCAAATATTCAATTTAAGCTCAGGAATGATCTCAATGCTCAATTCAAGAGTCACACAGTGACTTCAGAAAGGAAGTCTTCTATAGACAGTCCATAAATTCACCTAAATTTTATGCTTTGCTGTGTATGTGGACAGCAGAATATTTTGCAGCAAAGAAACACACTGTTCAGTTTTGCTTATTGTGGGGCATTTGAGAGAAGCCTGTAAAGCATTTTGTTTTAGGTAGCATGCAACAATTACTCTGATCACCCAATATTTAATTATACAAAATTAAATTCGCTAATTTTGTGAGGATCTTCAGCAATAAAGCAGTAAGCATCAAACTATAATGAACAGTCAGTTCCAAAAGCGGTATAGCGAAGACATTTGATATAAAGATAACTCCGTAACACAACTTCGAGTCACAGTAGCAACTGAAATAAGAAAAACATTGCACCAAGTATGCTGAGTCAACATCCCAAAAGATTTTTTTTTTAAATAGTTTGTTTGGTAGGGTTCTTTTGTAACAAAGTATTTTTCACCAGTTGAAGTAGTTGGAAGCACACATTTTTCAGTTACTTGCCTCATCTGAAAAGTATTTCAGAAAATGCAGTGTATCGCCTTTCCTCAAAACAAAGGCAACACTTGAGAAAAGCGTAGCAGAGAGCAATTATATGAATCAGAAACCAAGACTTCTGTGAAAAAGCTAAGAACAAACATCTAGAGCCAACTCACAACAATAGCAAAGACTGACCTAAAGAAACAACTCCTATCATATTAGCTTGTGCTTACCCTATTAAACAAAGAAATTAAATCTGAAACAGTACAGTCAGTTTTCTATAAACTATTTTTGTGTGGGTGAAAGCACCATAACAAAACTTGAAAACATTTAAAGCAACAATTTTGAAATTCAGAACTTCACTGAATACAACAAGGAACTATTTTAGTGACCAGGGACAGGAAAAGAGTAAGAACTTAGCTTGCTTCATCTCACCAAAAGAGGGCCTAAGAAGTATTTAAACAGTGGCTACGAACATCTGTTAAGGAATAAATTCCACTGAGAAATGAGATGGCCGTTAATCCAAAACACCACAAGAATCACAAGATGATAACGGTCACAACACATTCAGGCTAGAAATGTAGTGGTTTTAAATATCTGAAGAACAAGATTCTAGAACACTAATCATAAACGTTTGAATCTGCCAATTGTTGTTATGCTTAAAAGTCAGAAACTAATAATTGTAATTAAAAGTTAAACTTTTAACACAATGCATGTACACAAAGATAAAACTGCAATACTGAATCCACTTTTTCCCATGACAGGATGTAGCTACATAAGAATAAAGTTCACAGTTTTTCCTCCCCTCTCTCCCCACTGAACTATGCTCCTTTCAGCCAATGCCCAGTGTTTAAAAATCAAACATTTTAAATGTGAAGAACATACACTGCAATCACTATATAAACTGAATTCTTAATTTTTTTCTGCAATAGAGCAGACAATTCAGCATAGTACAAAAAAGTAAAAAAAAAAAAAATGTAGAGTGTACTCGTGAGCCTGCAGATGAATTT